AACTCCTGAGCTCACGCAATCCTCCTGCCTCGTCCTCCCTGAGTGCTAGCATTACAGGCGTGAGCCATCGCGCCCGGCCTGGCCCAGCTATTGCTGCCTTTGTGTGCTGGTCTGTCTGAAATGCTCTTCCTTCTAGCTCTCTGCATGGCTGGCTCTTTCTCATTCTTCACATCTCAGCTCAAATATCCCTTCCTCAGCAAGGCCTTCACCAATCATGCTCTCCTCTGTCCCTTTCACAGGTATCACCCTTAATATGTGATTACATATGTATTTTGTTTACTTAATTGCAACAATAACAGTAGCTAATACATTGAGCACTTGCCACATGCCAAATTAGATCTAAGCATTTTATGTGGATTATCTTGTTTAGCCATCATAACTGCCCCATGAGGTAGGTGCTATTGTTACCACCATTTTACAGATGCTGAAACTCAGGGATGAAAGGTTACATATCTTGCTCATGGCCACAGAGCAAGCCCACAGTTGTAACCATTATACCACAAGATCTCTTAATCTTTTTCCCTGCCCCACCAACCTCCACCCCCAGACTACGAGGTTCAAAGTATCTCAGCACCTGTAACAGTGTCTGGCATAAAATGATGCTCTGTAAGGATAGCGAATGAATGAAAACATTCAAAGTGATACTTTATGATTTCTCTTCATACATCTCTGACCCACCTCCTCTTCCCCACAAGCCCCTAGCACAGGACCCAGCTCCCAGAAGGCTCTCAACACATCCACATAAACTCGAAGCTGGAAAGAGCTTTGGTGACCATCCAGCTCTATACCCTCAGTTGACCAAAGGGGGACAACCTCTGTGGGTTCTTTCTCCTACTCCTGAGAAAGGACAACTGAGCAAGATAGACAATGAAGGATGCACGGGCTTCAGGGGTCCTAAGAGACTGTGTTCCAGCAGAAGAGAGAGGTCAGTAGTGGATGCCCTGCAGGAGTGGAACCCAGGGAGGAAGGCTAGGGCACAGTGGAGGGGCTATACTTGTCCTACCTTACAGAACAAATAAACGCCCTCTACTGGACACCTGTGCCTTCTGGGAACTGTCCAACACATGAAATATATTCCTTGGAAATCTCATCACCTCAGGATACACCTACAGATTTAGGTGACTAGAGGCTACAGGCTTCTTTGGTCTCCCATTCCCACCTCCCTCCTCCTTCCCCTGGAGACAGGGAGGCAAAAATACCCAGCAACAGCAGCCCAGAGACTACACCTCTGGCATCACCTTTGGAAGCAGAGAAGGCCTTTCTGTAGAAGATACATGGGGTTTCTTGTCACTCCTTCCTGCTGCTGGTTATCCCCAGCCCTTGAAAGTCCTGAGCATCTCCAGCATACCAGGTTCCAAGAATCCTAAACTCAGCCGGGTACAGTGGCTCATGACTGCAATCCTAGCATTCTGGGAGGCCAAGGCAGGAGGATCACTCGAGCTCAGGAGTTTGAGACCAGCCTAAGCAACAGCGAGACCCCATCTCTACAAAAAACAGAAAAATTAGCTGGTTGTGGTGGCACACACCTGTAGTCCCAGCTACTTGGGAGGCTGAGGTAGGAGGATCGCTCAAGTCCAGGAGTTTGAGGTTTTAGTGAGCTATGATGCCACCACTACACTCTAGCCATGTCAGCAAAGTGAGACTCTGTCTCAAAAAAAAAGAAAAAGAAAAAGAATTCTAAACTCTATGTGAAGAAACTTCTAGGAAAGCAGCACAAACAAATGCCATAGGAGTTGTGATTGGGTGTCGGGGACAGCATTCTAGCCTACTATGGGCAAAGTTTCTAAGATGAGGTGGTACTAGGGCTGAACCTTGAAGGGCAGGAATCACTGCACTTCATGGGGACGAGAAAGAAGCAGAGGGAACAGCAGGTGCAAATAACACCGAAAACAAGAGCTAACATTTACCTGGTGCTTACTCTGTCCTTGGTGCTGGGTCAGTGTTTTATACGCAGTAGCTTGTTGGTATCTCACAACCTTCATGAGATAAGTGCTGTCAATATACCACATGAAAAACCCAAGGCCCACAGGTGTTAAATAACTTGTCTAAGGTAATCCAGTAATTGGCAGGAGTGGGATTCAAACCCAGGTTTGCCTGACTCCAAAGTCCACCACACTATGTGCACCCAGTGCTGGAGGATGACTTGTCTGAAGGAGAGAAATATGTCTGAAAGAGCAAGGGATCCCTGAATGCCACACTAAAGGTCCGGATGGTGTTCCACAATGGGGGCCACTTGCTGAGCAGCATCGTAGGAAGAATGGCCTAGCATGTTTATGGAGGATGACATAGGGTCCTCTGGGAAGATGGGAACGCTGTGCCCCCCAGAAGCTCTACAGAGGGATAGGGAGCAGGGAGCAGCAGGAGGAAAGTCAAGAAGAGAAACAAGCCAACCAAATGCCAACTGATGATCAATGGTATCCACTTTTAGATCTAAGCAAATAAAGATTTTCAACAGGTCCCAGTCAGTCCATAAAACTCACATTAAAGGCCAACTGCGTGCTAGGCCCCGTCCCCGGCAGCCTCCCTCTGTCTCTCCCCTTTTCCTACGGTGAGGTCAGTCAAGTTGCTGGCAGACTTCAACAACCCAGCAC